AAAGGATTCCCGTCTTTGGAAAAGACTAGGATAGCTCTCAAATTGATATTACAGAAAAAGAGATACAGGAACAAATCATCTTTCCCACCAATTGTCCTAAATTCTAGCAGGTTAGTTGCATAACTAAATTTTCAGGCTACAGCCTTAACAGAGTCATCCATTAGCAGGTGAAAGAGGCCAATATACAGACCACAATGAGTATCCACAGTATTACAACTCTTTGATCAGACATCTACCAGCTTATTTTTCCTAACTAGAGTGTAAAAGACTAACAAGTACAGAAACAATAATATTGCTATAAACCTGATTAAGTTCAGCACTTTCGGAAACAAAATAAATGAACATTCAACACCACCACTGTAGGAAATGAAGATTATCAATGGTCAACCTCAGATGAAGTTAAACCAATTTTTAGACACTTATATGTAAAAGGAACATCATTGAAACAATGAGCTATCAAGAATATCATATAGCAATATATGCGAGTGCGCGTAAAAAAAGATAATATTTTAACGGCACAAAAGTAAAATTTTAAATTCCTGAACCATAACATATTGAAAATATCTTTGTAATGGGTACTTCAACAAGTAACAATGTAATCATTTAAGCCTTTTCCTGGCAACAGAAACCAATAGAGAAGAGAATCATTGAATATAACTCATCAAGTCATGCTTACTTATGCCAAGAATCCACAGCAGAAAGGTCATATTGTTGGTTAGCAGTAGGAGTACTGGAATTTCCATAAATAAGGCCATTCTGCAAACCATCCTCCTTAGGTTTCAGCAGAATCTGATTTTGGGGACCTATATTATGCCCAAATAAAGTTCTTGGCAACCATGGATCATCAACATTAGGAGGCAAAGATGTATTAAATGCTCCACCATTCGGAGCATGTCCAAACAAAACATTCTGTGAAGGATGCCCATTAGGTATAGCTTTCTCATCTTTCTTGAACAGAGATGCCATCGTTTTACGAGGGACTGGATGGATGTGATCTTTTTTCAGCAAGTTCATCTCCGGGTACAGATGCCAACCAATGGCAGGCCCACCAACTATACCAAGACCATCCTGTCCAAGGGGGGAGCTATTCCACATCTGCCATGTTCTATTGTCATTTGTGTTGACAGAATTATTGTCCTGGTCCTTTGGGCTTCCTGGGAAAAGGAGAGAACAGGCATGCTGTTCTTCAGACACACGTGATCGTGACAATGGAGACTCAATCGGTGATGGCTTGGTAACCACAGAAGGTGCAGCTTTAGTCTTTACAGGGCCTGGTTTTTCAAATCTAGGATCGGTTGCAAAACCCCGATCCAGCTGAAAGTTATCAAGCGATTCGGAGACGGGCCCAAGCAAAGATATAGGGTCCGGAACATAACAAGGGTCTTCAAATATCTCCAACTCCTCTGGTAAAAGCTGGTGCGGGGAATCTAACGTTTTCGGAAGCATGGCACCAGAGGAAACTGGAGGAATAGTACTGGTGCTACTAGTAGATACAAAAGGAAACGAAGGTAAACTAAACGGATTTGCCAGACCAAAATTAATAGGGTTGTCGAATGATTGTGTTGAGGTGAGTTGGCAAGAAACGGGCTGGTTTTGAACTTCTGATTTGTGGTTCCCTGTTTGTCTGCTTATGACATTAGGATTTGAGGGTGGTGCTGGAGAACCAGCAGATGAGCGAGTGAATAATTGCTGCCATGATTTTTTAGGTGCTGTACTTGGTTGAGATTCAATGAGTATCTGCAATAGAACACCTCGTATCAATGTGTATTCCACACATATGAAGCAAACAACATAAGAAAAATTGTCATTTGGCACTAATGGTTACTGTATAACAATTCTCCCTAAACGACCAAACATGACAAGCTCATGAATCAATTTCCTTGTAGCCTCTCAAATAAATAACTAAATTATGAAGCAACAGCAGGAACAGATTACAAAGCATCCAGCAGCTATATTTAAATATTTGGTCATTTGTCGACATCAATAGGACAAATTAAAATTCACGAACACAAATGGTGTAGCTGCTAATTAATGCCCCCAAACCACCCAACCCCAATACCACTTTCAAATAACATAGAAGGGAAAGTACACAAAAAGAAGGGAGGGGGAAAACACGTGCACAAGGAATAACTTACAGGGCGATTAGCACTCTTATCATCTCCATTTCCGATTGATCGCCCAGAAACCCGTTCTGGTATTTCTTTCCTATAGGTCGAAGATTGAACAGTTCCTACCAATCCACTGGTTTTGTGATCTCTAGAAATAGTGGAAGTGTTTGTACTCTTCCCAAAGAAACCGCCTCCAGTGAATGCCCTAGAAGAAGATAGAAAGGTTCCCCTCATCCTATCAAAGTATCTCGTCCCAGCATTCCCTCGGCCATGAATGCCTGCACCAGCACCCTTATACCCATGCCCCATTTCAGTGCCATGAGTTCTCACACTATCAGGTGTACTGGTGTGTTGCCCCCTTTCATTCTTAATGTTTTGGTTGCCTGCTCTCCTTTCCAACTCCTCAGCATCAGAATTGCTCTTGCTAGACCCCTTATCTCTCTCCTTCTTCCTTTCTTGACGCTTCCTTTCAGCTTCCTTTTTGCTATCCCGTGCCTTTGCACGAGGTGAGCCGCCCTTTCCATAATCTTTTTCAGCCTCCATTTTTTCATCCCGTAGTCTCCTTCTTTCTTCAACTAACCTCGCAACCTCCTCTCTTTGCTTTCTTTCCTCCTCCTCTAATAGCTCCTTCTCTAATCTAGCCTGCCTCTTCTCCTCGGCTTTCCTTCGAGCTTTCTCTCCTCTGCTCTCCTGACCACTCCCACCATTCTCACCTCTGTTATCCAACATTCCTCGGCGAGCTGCATCGGCTAAAGCATCATCTCTGGAGGAACTAACCCTAAAAATCTTTCTCCAAACCCACACGACACACAAGAAAACTGCTGTTAGTGCCCTGCAGGCAAAAATAAAAACACGAGAATAAGACTTCTCCGCCAGACAATGGCTGTCATCCCCACGAAACAAGCCCCCGCCACTCCTCTTCCCATAACTCGATTTCCCAGCAAAAGGCCCGCCGGCCCAGTTCCCATTCTCTAGCCAATCCTGCCCGCACATCCACCCGTTATCAGACCAAGCCTTTCCATTCAATATCTTCCCGCCTTTGCCCACAAGATCTTTCAGAATCCCTGAATTGCCCATCCCTGGTGGCACGGGCAAGTCCAGGACCGGCCTTTTCGAAATATGGCCGCAGTAGGAGCACATAAACTTTCCCCCACCAGGATTCTGATCACGATATGCGGTCAGGCAATTTCTACACCTCCGAGTTGCGGTCTTCCTCAGTTTCTGCAACTCAATAGCCTCGAACCTCTTCCTCTCCCTAAGCCTAGCATTCCTCCTGATCCGCCACGCTGATAGCTGAGGCATCAGAACCTCGTACCAAAAGAGAGTTACTAACAGGACTAATACACAGGCAAGCCGTGGAGATGTGATTTCAAACCGAAATGCAGGCGGTAAGAGCTGAGACAGGGCCCACAGGGCAATCAGTGGAATTACTAGCCATGGCAGCATGGTAGCAATCCTCCTCGACCACTTCTGAATCACGCAGAGTATACACATTATCCTCCTTATCCCAAACCTAGCTTCCCCAGTCTTTACACCACCCAATAAAGAAATTTCGACAGATCACAACTTCCCCAAAACAAAATTAATCAGGGACTTTTAATACAGAAAACTCTGCCTCCAAACTTCTATTTTTCTTTCCCCCCCAAATGCTTAACGCCAAACCGATTCCTGCAATTTTTCCAAACCCTAGTGGAGCGATTTCAGTGGAGCCACCTAATTACCGGAAAGAAATGAACACGACAATCGTCAGATTTCCTATAAGGAAAGAAGCATATTAATTAGGGCTACGGAACCGTGTTTTTTTTCTAGCTCCGAAACGTGGATGCCACGAAAAGAATAACAATCAATTGAACAGAACAAAAATGACCAAATGAAAACTGTAATGGAGAGGCTAACTTAATGCATACCAATGTTCCGGCCATCGGATAAAGGTCGGCGGCGAAGTTCCCAGTCGACGATTCGTTTGATTTTCAAACAGAAAATTAATTGACAAGAAGAAAATTGAGATGAGTGAGAGAAACATCAAAAGAAGGGGAAAATTAGGATATGGCTATTGGGCGGAATTTATAGGCATAAGTTAGACCGCTAAGTCTGCTCATGAACCGGGTTAAGTGACTGGACCGGTTGGAAAAATGTTTTTGTGGAAAGCTTATCAGCAATTTATAGCTTATGACTTATAGCTGAAAAGTTAGCTTATATGATAAAAGTGTTTGGTAAAATTAGTTGATAAACTAGCTGAAACAAAAATTTCAAGAAGCTTATTTGAAAAGCTACAAAAGAAACTTATGAGATAAACTCGAGCTTTTTAAAAAAATTTGTCCTTCCAAACGAAGCTTATTTGAATACATCAAACTTATAAACTAACCAAATAAGCTATAGGCTAGCTTACTTGTTTACTAAACATAGCCTAAAGCTGCTGAATGAAACGACTAGTTCGTAAGTTCAACTCGATCTTATTTAAAGCTTGTTTTGGTAATAAGTTTGATCCGCTAAGGCTCATAAATATAAATTATTATGTAATTTTTTATCGTCCGATTAGTTAATATTGATGATTGAGTTGAACTAAGGCTATGTTTGGTAAAGCTAGCTGATAGCTGATAAGCTAGCTTATAGCTTATTTGTAATTTTTTAGCTTATAGCTTGTAGCTTATGACTTATAGCTGAAAAGCTAACTTATATGATAAAAGTGTTTGGTAAAATTAGCTGATAAACTAGCTGAAATAAAAAATTCAACTAGCTTATTTGAAAAACTACCTAAAGTAGCTTATGAGATAAGCTCGAGCTTTTTAAAAAAGCTCGTCCTACCAAACGAGACTTATTTGAATACAAGGAGTTTATAAAGCTAACCAAAGAAGCTATAAGCTAGCTTATTTGGCTTACCAAACACAGCCTAAAGTTCGAGCTCAACTTGGCTCGATAATATTGTAAAACGAGTTGAGCCCGAACGTGAGTATCAGAATATCAAGTTCGAATCGATAAAGTCTCGAGCCTGGACTAGAGTGTTATTAGGAGTCGAGCTTGAGATCGAACTCAATTCAATTCAGCCCATTTACACCCTTTTAAGTTTTCAATTAGTTATGAGGAACTATTAGTTAATGTTATATTATAACTCATGGAATTATACTATGAGATTGATTATTGAAATATAATTGTTTTGATAATTATGTTACATTCATTTTATTTTGACACTGTGAAATAAGGTGAGACTTAACACCTAAGTCTTCCCTAGAAAATTGAATGCTCTTCATTGATTGATACAATCTTATTATTGGCGTTTAAAGTCAAGTGACAACTTACAAAGTGTCCTTTTGTTTTCCATTTTTTTTTTCTTTTCTTTTTGGAACATTCTAATTGAGAGAAAGAGTTACAATTTCCTTTCAAGAAACGGTTAGGCTAAATTGGGAAATGATTCAGAATCTCGTCCATGAATTGAATGGATGAAATGTTTTAGTTAACTTATTAGACGGAAAAGGAAAATGAGTGAAATATAAATCTGCATTGGACACGTTGAAATTGGACAGATAGATGTCGGTACTAAAAGTAGACTATTTTTCTGAAATTTTGTACCAGAATTTGTACTATGAAAATTTCCTCAGCGTTTGCACAATTTGCACTATTTTAACAATTCATAATGGATATATTAGACGCATAGAGGCCCAGATATAAAGCCCAACAGATTTTAAGTAAGTAGCGTTTTGTTTGGCATTTCTGAAGAACAGAGGCAGATCAGGTGCAGTTGGATATATCTTAACCATCACAACATCTCAAAATTGTCAGCTCTATTGTAAATCTAGATAATAGTATGTGCATTTGTTAATTCACAATTTTGTAATGATAATGTGATTAGGGTTTTCATACATGCTAAGTTGCTATTTATAGAAAAATAGATAATAACATCTCTTCTTAAGTATTATGATGCACCTAAATATCGACCTAACTTCTAGCTAAAATCTCAGAAAGATTATATAAATTTCACTTCCCTCCCATGGAAATATCACCTTCATTCTAGAATCTTCTATACCCAAATCTCGGCACCTCAAGTCGATCAATTGCTCGTTTGCCCTATCTACTGAGCTAGCTCAAACATAATTAGGTCATTTGGGAATCTTAATTCGAGTTGAGCTAAATCAACACACTGACCTTCGATATCGAGCCAACTTTCAAGCCGACCGAGTGGCTATATTATTAGATACATTGGTTGACTCATGACCTACCTAGTGATTTTCAGATAATTAAGTTTTGTTTACAATATGTGGCTAGACAGTAAGCTCATGTCCTTAATAATAGTCATTAAACACATAATATTTTGATAAGTTCACGAGAATTTTCAAAATCTAGCTAGTCACTTCAAACAACATCAAATTGGTACCAAGAATCGAGATGGGTAACCAATTATTAGGGCACCTGCATCGCGGGAATTATTTGCCCGTTTAAACGTGCCACTCCCGTTCAACATGGATGTGAGGCATCCATTATATGGGGGCCCATTTGGCCGTTCATTGCATTGAAAGGCTTGATGTCTATTTTCTTATTTTTATTTTTTCTGTTTTGTTTTCAATTAATTTGTTTATTTTTGTTTTGTTTTGTTTTCAATTAATTATTTTTTTTTTTTAGTTTTTCAATTAGTTTTTTTTTTATTTTGTAATCTTAATTTATGTCTTTTTAAATATGATAATATTTACTGTATTTTAAAATTTAGAATTAAATATTCTAATTAAAAAATACATTTATTTTGTTAATAATAAAATATAAAAATAGTATTGAATGAGTGGATGATGGGTCCCATTGTTTAAATGAATGATTGAATGTGGACGTGTGTTTAAATGGAGAGATGTTTAGTGGAAAGATGATGTAGAGGTGATGTGGATGAAAGAGAGTGTAAATTGTGATTGAATGAATGTTAAAGAATATAGATGCCCAAGCTGAGCTCAACACAATTTTTGAAATCTTATTACCAATAAATAAATAAGAAAGGTGAGTTGTATATATGCAGCCACTTGCACTAGTATAGGCCTAACAATTTGTGTTGGCTATAGCTAGTGAGGTTTGACCAAAACGAAACCTAAATCAGAGAGGTTAAAATTTGGCCTGTCCCAAATTGTAATAAGGTTCTCTTCGGACAAATTGGGACGTCTTTACTGAATATGACTGAGAATTGAATTATTCCAATACATGCATGAAACAAGAGAAAAAATAAAAAATAAAAAAAATACAACATTCAACTTCAGAAACATATATGTGGAGTTTCACATGGTGAATGAACTATACGTTTCTATTTTATTCTAGGATAATTTCACTTAAACAACAAATTAATAATAACTATGTGACATACAATCCTATTATCTAGGTAGGGGATAAAGTGTGTTTTAACTTTTAACTTTAACAAAGTTTCATAATTTTCATGGCCACCTTCATGTTCCATTGCAAAAAGATACGCCGCGTATCTTCATTTCCACGCACACACATACAAAAAAGAATGGGAAAAGAAAAGAAAAAAAGAATAACTTATCTTCAGAGGCGACAGGGCATAATGGAACCATACAGCACTACACGATCAGTGGACATTAGGCTGCAACGAATTATCATTAATAAAACCTATAAAATTTAAAGATGGTGACATCAGTTATAAATGAAATTTCTTTCTTTATTCCCCAATATACAAAGTAGCACTTAGAGACAACAAGTTATGTTTCAAAATCATGTTTCAATTTATGTTTCACTTTCATTTTATTAAATATGACATTTGTTATTGATAAAGGCACAATTATATACGTATTATATTCATTCAACAAGAATTTGAAATAATTTTATAACAAGAGATCGTTTTTGGCTTGCGTTGTTATCCTTAATGCCGACTTCCAAATTTGTTTCATAAAAGAAAATTCAATTTCCATACACATAAACATCGCGTTGAATTCAGCCGCCACTAGTTGACTTTCTGAATAATGAACCATTCGTATATATCCGTTTTGCTACGTGAAAGAAGACGGATAGAAAAGGAAATACAAAAATGAATGATGACCTGGTTTAAATATTGAGAATGCAAGGAGCCGCGCCTTAATTGATTAATCTAATTTTCAATTATCCTCTGAGAATAAGTCCATAAACAACCATACTGTTATCCATTCGCGCACTCCAACTCATCAAGCCCAAGCCCAAAGTTATCCACTTATCATTAATTAATTAAATAGGAATCACATTTCTTCATAATATCTAATTTAATTAATTGGTGAGTAATAGTTTGAAACAAGATTTAGGTTCCAAAAAATTAATTTAAAATAAAGTTAAGGAGCGGTTTGGAATTAAGAAATGTTAAATAAATTGTTTTTACGTGTAAAACAACTACTTATTTACGTAATACTTTGGATAATCAACTAATTTAATTAACTGGTAAAAAAAATGCTTGTTAATTTAACCAACCATTCGATGTCAATTTAATCAACTATCACAAACATGTTAATCAAAGTTTTGTAGAATATTACTTGCCCCAAGCAATGGTTGGGTCCGTTGCATTATTCTGATNGTTTTGTAGAATATGAAATTTCGTCAAAATTAAAGTGCAACGAGTTGCAGACACCGTCACTAAATAATTATCCAAGTTGAGCACCGTCATTTTTTGAAATCCTCAAACATACCTATAATCTTAAATTAATTTATTTAATAAAATTGTTATATATTTGGTCAAAAATATTACCCAATCAACCAAACAGTGTTAAAATCCTCAATTATTCAGCTGACTCACCTAATTATATATTTTAAGCTTGTTGTGTAATTTGCTTAGACAAATGTATGTACACTAACTCACATTATTTTGGTTACGTTTTTTTGTTTCTTAAAGTTAGGTTCACATTCACAGCTCATAGCCTCATATCCAAAATAAAATAAAATTGAATAAATAATATTTTTCAGACAAAGCATCTACCATATCTACACACATACGCTCCAATTAATCCATAATAATAATCTATCTGTATTGCCAAACGCGGAATAAATTTTTACCTGAAATTTCTGTGGGTATATGGCGGTTTCCAACGACTCTTTTCCGGCCAGAAAACGGCGGCCGGCGATGGAAGCATTCGTGTCGCCGAAATTCTCCAGTCCGAAGCTCCTCCAGTCGCTCCTCCATCTCTGTAAGGAAGTTTCTTCTCTGCAGCCGCTGGGCGTGCTTCTGAAGAAAACCTCGGCGTCGGTCATCCGAAAGACGAGGCTGATCTCCGTCCTTCTCGAGGAACTCGTTCGATTTCCGGCGAGCACATTCCCGCCTTCCGCCGCGTTGTGCTTCGAGGAGTTGTACTTAGTTCTGCAGAGGATAAAGGTACTGGTTGAGGATTGTAGCTCTTGCAGCAGAATGTGGCTGCTGGTGCAGGTCCCTTCGATTTTGAGCTCATTTCAGCAGATGACGGCGGAATTATCGACGCTCCTAGACATTTTCCCGGCGAAGGAGATGGAATTGAGCGAGGACGTCGGGGAATTGCTCGATTTGATTAAGAGGCAGTGCTCGGCAAGAGGCTCGCCGGCGTGTGCGGACGCGTGCGACGAGGATCTGAGGATTGAGGTGCTGAAAATGCTGGAGGACATCAAGAGGGAGGTCGTCCCCGACCAATCGAAGCTCGGCGTGATTTTCGAGAGGCTGAATTTGAGCGACACGGCGAGCTGCAGCGGCGAGATCGAGAATCTCGAGGAGGAAGTGCAGAGCCAAAACGACGACCTTTCGAAGGTGGAGATAATCGCTCTGATGGGGCTCGTCCGGTACGGGAAGTGCGTTCTGTACGGCGCGTCGACGCCGCGGGCGTCCTCCGCCACCGCCCTCAGGCGGCGGAAATCGGCTTCGGAGGTAAATTTCCCGGCGGATTTCCGATGCCCGATCTCGCTCGACCTGATGCGAGATCCGGTGGTGGTGTGCACGGGTCAGACCTACGACCGGTCGTCAATCAGCGCGTGGATCGAATCGGGTCACGAGACTTGCCCGAAGACCGGTCAGGCTCTGGCCCACACGCGCCTTATCCCCAATTTGGCATTGAAGAATTTGATAGCTATGTGGTGCAGGGACCAGCGGATCCCTTTCGAGACAACGGAGGTCAACGTCAAACCTAACGGCGCCGTTATCAACAAAGCTGCTCTGGAGGCTACCAAGATGACCGTCTCATTCCTCGTCAACAAGCTCGCGGCGGCGGCGGCGCCCGCCGCCGCCGACCGTCTCGTCCACGAGCTCCGCGTCCTTGCCAAGACCGATTCCGACAGCCGTCTCTGCATCGCCGAGGCCGGAACCCTGCCGCTCCTCGTCAAGTGCCTCCGTTCAGAACTCCCGAGCCTCCAGATAAACGCCGTCACCACCATCCTCAACCTCTCCATCCTCGACTCCAACAAAGCTCGGATCCTGGAGACCGACGGGGCCATCGACGGTGTTATCCACGTGCTGAGATCCGGCGCCACGTGGGAGGCCAAGGGAAACGCCGCCGCCGCCATCTTCAGCCTGACGGGTGGCGCCGGCCGGCGCCGCCTCGGCCGGAGGGTCCGTGCCGCCACACTGGCGCTACTCAACCTGGCAAAAACAGGGCCCACGGGCCCCAGACGAGATGCAATGATGGCTATCCTGAACCTGGCCGGAGATCGGGAGGGGGCCGGGAGGCTGGTGGAGGCAGGGGCGGTGGAAGTTGCAGGGGAGGTGATGGACGTGCTGCCGGAGGAGGCGGCTGCGGTGCTGGAGGTGGTGGTGAAGAGGGGTGGGATGGCGGCAGTGGCGGCGGTTTACCACCGGAACGTAGTGGAGAGGCTGGCGAAGCTGCTGAGGGATGGGTCGGATCGGGCCCGGGAAAGCGCGGCAGCTACATTGGTGATCCTTTGCCGGAAAGGAGGGTCGGAGGTGGTGGCTGAGCTGGCGGCGGTGGCCGGAATCGAGAGGGTGGTTTGGGAGGTGATCAGGATGGGTAGCGGACGGGCGAGACGAAAGGCAACGACACTTTTGAGGATATTAAGGAGATGGGCGGCCGGGCTTGTTGGGCGAGATTTCGATTCGGGCCACTCGACGAATATTACAGGTTTGAATGTGATGAACCCTACAAGAATAGTGTTGCCTGCATAGAGAGGATTATTTATGATGATGACTTTGTTTGTTTGTATTGATGTTGTTGTTACTTTAGATTCATTTGTTCAGATTCATTTTACATTATATACAAAAAGAGGTTTATGATTCCTGGGAATTAATGTTTGTTGAAGAAATGTAGTATGTATTTGTGCTCTGATTGTACAATGGCCAACTAAAGAGATGGCTGCTTCTTGTCTTGTAAATGCGCTCCATTGTTAATTTCTCTTGTGATGTTTTTCCTTTCATTTCCTGTTTGGAGAAACTCCTTCACTTTGTGAATCTGAATAGTTTTCTAATATTTGTAACAGTTGTGCAAATATTCTCTTTATTCAAATGCCAGTTGGTTTTTCATCTTTGGTTCCCTCACATAGTTTATCTAGTCATCAGAGGACTCTTGAAGCCATTGAAAAGATCATTTCTTTCATCGCGAAAGTCCTAAGAATGTGCACAACTTTTTTTCTAATTGACAGATGGAAAGAAGCACTTAAGTATTATACTGTACGGATGAATTAAATGGATGGAATGTTATATTAATGCCTCATAATTTACAAGATCAAGTCATAGTTTCCCTACAGTTTTCAGGCTTCAAGCCATGTTAGGCCCAATTTGTGGGACGTCAGAGCAATGGGCTTCTCAAGTTTGAGCCCAATACTATCTGAGATGCATAAGGCCCATATTGAGCTCAAGCCAAACTGGGCCTATTTTTACTTGCCGACATTCGTCAGAGGGCCTGGGCTGTATCTAAAGACAAAATTGGCCCTAGAGCAAGAAAAATGCTTTTCTTTTTTCCCTCTCTTTCCTGGCATAAATGATTGGTTAAATAGCTTTAATAATAGTTTAATGGTTACAGTTAAACCATGTAGAATCGAGAAAATTCGACCCGCACACATTTATAGGGTCGAATCATCCGTATAAGACAAAAGGGTGAAAATAATTGAGATGAATTGACTAGTGTTAGTTTTCAATTAATGTGGCACAAACATTGATATGGAAGTGTCATCCGTGATTGCCTCAGCAACATATAGAAAGCCCCCACACACTATCACAAGACCCTTAAGCTCACTATAGCTTACCAGAAAAGTGAAAACACGCTTTTAATCCGGGCGTAAAGCGTACTTCTGATAATTGGAAAGCTGATGCACAAATTTGTTCTATCTACCATCGTTCAGTGATACAATTATTGATTAAGNAAAAGTTTTCAGTGGTTGTTTAGAAACAGACAAAAAGCATGAGACCTTAGTAGGATGGTGAAAGTATGGGTAGCACTGCCTTAATGGCAGATGAAATTCACCGAGTATTATGCAGTAAATAGAAATTTTAATTTAATTTTAATTTTGCTTGTGAACTCTTGTGTAGATCTAACTTACTAGAGGTAAAAACATAGGTTTTTGCGCATAATATTTACCCAAATCAGAAAATGCTTAAGTTGCACGTTCAATTCAATAATTATTTTAATTTTAGTCCATAATTTATATCTACAAGAAGGATTTGTTTAATGATAAATAGTGAATAGGCAACAACTAACAAGACTTGGCAATCTATGTTAACATGTGTTTAGATTTTAGTCATGTATAGCTAGATTCGTTCCTATCCATGATTTTAGTCCACCCTCTTGATTTGTTCTTATTGAAACTCCTATATGGGACAATCAATGTAATTAACAGTGCTATTGAACCATTACTATAATAGCAAAAGCTAATTGTTCAGACATAATAATAATAATAATAATAATAATAATAATAATAATAATAATAATAATAATAATAATAATTCACCATGTACCAAGCTAATGCTCTCTCGTACTAGTCACCTACCTTAAGGAAAAAAGATTCCTTGTTTCAAAAATGTGTACTAGCTAATTATTAGTTTCATTGCGTGAATGCTATAAGCTTAAAAGTAACACATTATGGATAAGTTAGGTTATATTCGTCTAATAGAATAAAACATAAATTGAAATACAGATTTTACAATGGCAGATCTTATCTTATTGCTTAAATTGACGAATAAACAAGAAAAAAAAAGGTTCAAATAGAAATTGACATTAACAAGAATCAGGCAGTATAATCACATTTTCAAGGCTATTGATCAGAGCTTAATCCCAGTATGAACCAATTGAGCTAAATGCAAGCTTGAACTCAAGTTTTATCGAGTTATCAACATTAAAGAATCAAATTCGAACCTTAAAAATAACTATAAAAAGCAAAATATATATGTTTTTTTATATATTTAAATCTAACCAGCTTTGAACGAGTTACAACTCCCATATTAATCAACTCAGCTCAGGAAGTACTCGTTCTAGCTTGTTTAAGAATTCTAAATGCATACTAGCCCAGATTTTCTCCCTCCAAAATTATAACCATATATTCAGACAGGACAACCGATTTAGGTGGGTACTATTATTATTATTATTATTAATTTATTACAATTATTTTTCTCTGAAATAAAAATAATAATAATAAACCAAGCTTTACCCGCAAAAGCCATTTTCCTAGTGACACAATTTTCTCGCCAAGCTGGCCCACCGAAAAGTCCCTCTCCCACCTTTCTATTTATCCAACATTTTCACACNCAAAGGTTCAGACTATCAGACATGATCCCAAACGCCTGGTTTTACCGTCTCAAGAACCAAAACCACCGCAAAATCACGGCCAAAAAGCCGGCGGCCGGCGGCCCTGCCCCTTCATCCTCCTCCTTCTCCTCTTCCCATTCATCCGTATCGTCCATCTCATCGTCCTCCCTCCCGCCAGCACCGCCACAGCCGCAAATTACCAAATTGCCCTCCTTCCCGGAGCAGAGGAAATCCTACTACTTCACCCGCGGCCTCATCACCGACCCTCCGCCGGATCCCCACCGGAGATCGTCTTCCCGGCGTCGCCGGAGCACCCGCCGCCGCTCCGTCTCCTCCACCTCCGGCTGCATCTGCCGCCCCGTCTCCTCCTCCGACGGCGAAGGGGACCGCGGCCTCACCCCCGACGACGGTTTCGATGACATTCCTCCGATCGAGGGCCGCCGGAATTCCGATTTTGATCACCGTGATCTCCCGCCGATCATCACTAAAAAACAGCATCAACAACAAAACCTGCAGAAACTGCAGAATCAGCAGCAGCAACAAGAAAACCAGAAACAACAGAAGCAGAGTGGGAGTCCGGTGAGGCGACTGTCGGGAAGCAACCTTTCATCGGGAGTTAGGCTGAGAACGAAAGCGAACACGCCGAGGATGGGGAATCGGAGGAGGAGGAGAGTGGGGGAGAGTCTGGCGGTGGTGAAGTCGTCGAGGGATCCAGGGAGGGATTTCATGGAGTCGATGGTGGAGATGATAGTGGAGAACGATATAAGGGGGAGGAAAGAGCTCGAGGAGCTGCTCGCCTGCTATCTGTCGCTGAACGCAGACGAGTATCACGACCTCATCATCGCGGTTTTCAAGGAGATTTGGTTCCATTTCATAACCTAATTAAGCTAACCAAATCTTGTTTTCTCCTTCCCCTTACTCATGTATTTATTGTCATAATTACTATTAATTAATTGTTTCTTGTTACTATTGTTAACTAGTTTATTAAATACTAGTACAAGTGTAATGTGGAGATGATGATTGGAGGTTCCAAATTGGTTTGGTCTAATGTAGTATTATTGTAATTTGGCCTACAAGGAGGAATCTCCTTGTCAAGTGAAGTATGTTTGATTTAGCAAACTCTTCAATTCTAAGTGGAGTCTGTTTTTATTTTTAATATAAAACATATATATTGTTGTATAATACGGTATAATTTTTAGGTAAGACGACTCGTCATAATTTTTTTTAGAGTATAATATGAATTAAGCTTGAAACTATGTATACATGTTGAAAAGATATGAGTGTCTGAATGATAGAAGAGCCCAATAATAGTATTTAATTGTATGTAATTATGTGAGACTATATATGTTGATGCTGAATCTATTAAATGAGACGAGTTGTTCTTGTGCTCACATCTGCTTGAAGGCTTGATAAAATGGATGTTTTATGAAATTTTTTGAATTTTTATATTAGTTAATTACGGCTAGATTTTGACTCGCTAATTTAACAAATGATATAAAGACTCGAAGCCAAAGTCGAGTTTCATGAATCAATCTCAAAAAGAAAAAATAAAAAACAAATGGAACAATATGGATGGATTGTAGTTATAATTGTAAATATAAATTTTTGAATAAATACTCTAATTTCAAACCGTGTGTGTACAAAATATTGATATGAAATGTCATTTTAATTTCCTTCTTTTCAATTATTCGGGGACATAATGATTAGTGACCCTAAAAGCCAAGATCGTGCTGGAATAAAGCGATTGCTAATTAAATAGGTCACATAATTTGAAATGAGTCATAATCGAAGTTATCAAATTGATATCAAATGATTAATAAATAAATAATTATAAATAAAATAGAAAAAGCCTGAATCGAGAATGGCCGTAAACGTCAAATCAGAAGAATTCCATATGGTCAGCAGTACTAATTTCCCAGAAAGCATTTTAATCCAATTTATTGGCAAATTCTGCCTTTAAAGATGTCTCAATTTGTTTGATTTATTACAAGTCAAATTTGGGTAGGGGACCGTGACCCGGAAGTTCGATTATTTATGAGAGTTTTTATCGCCATACGGTCAATATTTAATTTTCCTAGTATGGAATAAATACTAATTTAAAAGAAAAAAAAAAAAAAAAAAACTTGCAAACTTTGCTTTTTCGTACTGAAAACTTTGTTGGGAGAAAATTATTGGGCATGAAAAGAAGATACTCTTTTACGGACAAAGTTCAGTTTTAGGCTCTGCCCGTGTTTCTCTGGGCACTATATATCAATCAGCTTTGATTTAATTTAATTAAAAATAGGTTAAAATTAGGCAAAAAGCTGATAATTTTGATGCTAGAGAATCTAATATGATTGGGTGAAAGGCTGGGAAAGATTCAAATTTTAGTAAATACTGTAACAGCACGTTCAACAAGTACACTAATTAAGATCAACTTTATTATTTTAATTTCAAAAATTAGGCAAATAAAAATTAACAATATGCACGCATATACTTAGGCTTTTGGTTTTCCTTTTTTCGGGTATTGGTATGGATCTTCAATTTTGTCTAAACTCGTTCTAGGCAATTATTTAGGTGTAATCTTTTTGATGACTTTACGAACGTCAAGATCCGCCTGGAGAAAATATAATGTATAATACAGGGTAGTTTATTTATAAAATAAATGGTTTTACAATACAAGATTGTTTAATTGATAGACGGGTCAACATATTATATTTTTATAATAAAAAAATACCCCATTTGTTATTTTATTTATATTACTTTAGAGTGTGACACTTAATCTTGAAAATATATATATTTATTAAAAACGAATAATTATCTAGTGGTTAGATCAACCTAACAAAACAACTCATTAAATTCTATCGTTTTTCCCGCTAGAGTGCATTTTATGGAAAGAGGGTTTTGTCAAATATTCAAGATTCTCAGGTGTAATAAGGAATTTTACTACTGTATACCTTATCACTATTAGGCTACCAAAGTCAAATGATAAGTCCTCACTTCTTAAATTAAATGAATTAGTCAACAATGAAATTAGTGAAAGTAACAATATAACAGAACATTGAATAATATTTTTCATTTTATAAAATTGATAGTTCTTCTATTAGCAAGATCACATGATTGATAGTCAATCATACTATTCCAACAATATACATATTTTTATATTTAGACACCATACTTTAAAATATAATATAACTAAAAGTATAACATTTCATAATATAACTATGTATTTTTTTAAAATAAAAGTACATATAAATCAGGGTCTACTATAAGTGGAGATGTTAAATGAAACGAGCCGTTAGTGAGTTTGGCTCGATTATTAGTTAAGGCTCTAGTTCAACTCATGAAACAAGTTGAGCTCAAACTCATTTAGTTAATGAGCCGAAAGTAGATATTTTTATGTCATTTTCAAAATCTCGATTTATTAAGGCTCGAGTTCAGCTCGTTGATAAACCAGTTGATCTTCGAGTTCGCTTGTTGGCCCAATTATTAAAGGAGCCGAGCTCATCTCGTCTCAAACATTAAGAGTTAGAGCTCCATTTGACTCATTTACTGTTAGACGGTCTAATACTATCACTTCTTTTATAAAATATACTATGTGGTATTCTTGTTTTGTAGACCGGTAATTGAAACTATCTTTAATTAGGATGAGAATATATAGAATCATTATATGATTTATTTCAAATTTAAGTACGAATATCCTTTTTATTATTGGGCAGATACTTACCATGAGAATGGATACCTAGTATCACATGAGCCCCCACAAAATTTTGACAATTGACTTATATATAACACACACACATGTGTGTAATAATTAAACATATAGTAGACAAATATACCTCAAGATCTTCTAATGGACCACGGGCAAAAAACTACATTTCTTTGTTGATCTGCACACATTTAATAACATTTTTTTTCTTAAACTTTAATCTTGATAATTAGTAGTTAAATGATTTTTTAATTTTATTTTGCAGTATCATTATCCATTAATCTGATGTATATTATATGCCCAAGCTAGCACCATGTAGCCTCCACAGTTAACTTATAAAATAGACGAATCTCGTTGACATTATTCATTTGTCATTTTATGATCATGCCTTTCTCTTTATTATTATTTTAAGCTGTAATATTATGAATTATTATATGCTAATCATTTCATTCTTTTTAATTAATTTCCACTAATTTCTACCAGCCGGTAGAACTGATTTAATTTGGTGTGGACTTGGCACAAGATTTATGTTAGTGTTACAGTTTGCTCAATTAACCCAAAATTCTTGCAGACAAACTCTAGAGAGACATTATTGATACTCTAAAAAAATACACTTCTGGTAAAAATAGATAGAAATATTTTTTCCCCACACACACACAGAAAAAATAAGAACATTAAATATCATTCAAATTAATAGAAGAGAATATTCACATGTTTAGTACGTAGTTATAATCGATTGAATTAGTGATAGGTCGGAAAATGTGCTTATTTTATATGTTTAATAGTGTATTTTTATATACTCAATTTATTCGCACGTTTATATTTTTCGACTTATTTATTATTTGAATGGACTCATACACATTGATGTTTTTATATTTATTTTCAGTTCAATGGAGTATTTTGTGGCTGGAGCATTGGAGGAGTGTTCGCAAAAGATTGGATTCCCAATACCAAATTATTTATGACCCAAACACATGTTTAGAAGAAGTTTTTGAAAAGCCCAACTACAAACATGGTAGCCATTCTTGATGGAGATTGAGGAGTTTTGACCAGCTGGGGCCTTGGAATTAATTGGAAAAGAATTCACGCAGCAACATTATTTTGGGGAGAATTTTTGGGAGTCCTAATGCAATCAGGATTTTTGCTACTTGGGGAGATATTTATTTGCGGAAGGACTTATTTGGTCAGGACATATATTTTACGAAAAGAAGGCCGCAAGCAAAAAAGAAAATAGAGAGGATTTTATTGGCGTGAGGGAGAAAAGAGAACAGCGAGAAGAAAAACGCACGGATGAGAGAAAAGAGGCTACACACGCGGAGGGAAGCCGCGCTCGCACACGAGGGAGATATTTTTATCTTCTCTCTTTTATTTTTTATTTATTTTTTTATTAGTATGTTAGGCTAGTATTTTTATCCAGTTTTAGGGGATGTTTGAACCCTAATTCCAATTTGTCTATGAATTGGATGATTTATATTTATCGTTGATTAATCGAGACGCCGTATTTGTTTTTGTTGATGAGTTGATTCATGTTATCTGTGTATAATGTTTATGAATTATGGTGTTTGATTTAGTCTGACCAACTACGTTAAATATTCATAGTTTAATTGTTAGATTCGAGGCTTTAATCCGTAATTGTTATTGTCTCGTTTCGTTAGTAGTAAACTAGGGGTCGTGCATCTCTAGGGTAGCATGAGCATAAGTTAAATGGTCCGAGCTTTTGCGTCCATTGCTTAGACTGATCTATTTTCCTAGGAATTAATGCTGCTAGTGTATTAAATCTAGAGAGCTTATTCTAGGTTGTCCGCTAGTTAGGTTTAGTCGAAGAGTTTATTTTGATTAAATATTCTGTAAGGGAAAATTCGGTTAACAGAGCTTGTTGTTAGCTAGGGTCGGTAATTCATTAGCAATTTAAAGAAAGCGTCGAAATTAATTAACGGTAGATTTAGATTGGGTGATAACTGAACCGAAAACTGGACTTCTCTTATTTTATTAGATTTTTATTTTATTTTATTATTTTTATTTTTATTTTTATAAAACCAATTCCCCCCACCTTTTATTGCTTTCCTAGTTTAATTCAATTAATACGAGATTGTCACAATTTAATTCCTGCTCCTCGTGGGATCGACCCTTACTCGCCGCTACTACTAGTTAGTAGAGGTTTGTTAAGGAAAAATTATAAATTTAAATTTGCCGCGTCGCGACGCGCGGTCAATTAGCTAATGTCAGATAATTTATTGAACTAGCAGCTCTGACTACTGATTATATCGTGTTTGTTAAAAATTTAATTGTTTGATGTGTGAAAATAACTAATATTACATTCTTCTATATAAGAAAGACGCATATTTGTGATTTTCAGAAATTAGTTCTTTAAAAATGAATTAAAATCGTTGCTTATCAAATAATAAAATTAAAATGTATGACCAGTCAAACCTCTCACTATTTCTCAAAATTTTATTAAACAAGACCATTAATCCATAATAGAACTATTACATTTAAAGCGGAAAAACTGTGATATTTTCGTATTCGTGTTATATATGATGAGACAATGCGTTAAAACATAAAAGAACCCTATTGAAATCTTTAACTTCTTATCTTATATATGATTCAAAGAACCCAAAAGAAAATATTAGAAAAAAAATGGTTTATATGAAATAGTTATTTGTATCTACCAAAGGGGAGAAGGGGTGGAAATTACTTGCGGTGGGTGTCGGCGGGCCGCAAGGAGAGCCGTATTCAATTTCATTAGTCAANTAATAAATAAAAGGCCCATAAATGAAATGAAAGAACATATAGTACTAAGGATGTTTGGATATAAAAACTTTTGGGTTTGTTTGAATTTTTTGGTTTGGTTTGATTAATTTTGAAAAATGTGGTATGATTAGTTATTAGTGAGTATATTAAAATAATATTTTAATTAAAATAATTAAAGTTGATTTGATGTAAAAGTATGAGAGAGATGATTTGAAGTGATGGTTAGTTAAAATTATGTGAGTGGATAAATAGTGAATTAAGGTTGATGTGATGTGTAAGAATGATTGGTTGATATTATTTAATTATAATAATAATATTAATAATAGTTGAGTTGAGTTAAAAAAATAATTGAGTTAAAAATGTTTGAATTTTTTGGATAAGTTTTGTATCCAGGCATCCACATAAGTCAAACAAAAAATTTTGGAGCCTCCGAAGTCTATTGTGTTGGCCCCAATACACAACGCGCAGATTGGGGGTTTTGCTCCTTAAAAAAACATTTCCTGTCAAGGCTTATATTTTTTTATATTTATTTCAATAATTGATGAATGGATGTGGATATATTAATTGCCTAAGAGCATCTCCAGTGTTTAATATTGTTGTGAGAAAAAACCTGCCACGTAATAATAAGTTCACTATCAGTACAAATTTTACCTTCCAATGGTAATATAAAAGATACATGTTGTGCTGAGTTGGCAATAATTATTTTCTACACTGTGATAGAGCCTGTGAAGTATCTACATCCTTCTCCACAGGATGACTCAGCAAATTTGGGGAGAAGAGTTCTCAAAATCCACGAAAATCTGGTGGGAAAAATTGGCGGGCACCCAAAATTTTTCAATCGTCAAACTGAAAAGATTGCAATTCTCTTATGTACAACTGAACCAAGATTTACCTAGTTGAAAAATTACAATTGCCGATCCAACAAAAAGATTTTCTGGTACGTGATGCTTTTCTTTCTCTTCATTATATCTGCAGCCCTTTGTAATTAATTATGCGAATCGGAGAAGTGATATAGCCTTTTTTTCTCATTCGGTAGAAGAATTTTGATACTTTGGGTTCATTTTTCGTAGTCAGGATGTTTGAGAATAATCTTCTGCATCAAAACCCTTTTTCTCTGTTTCACTTCAATTTATACATAAAAAGGTTTTTGTTTGCTTTTTTTTTTCGTTTTATATACTTTTCTTTGGTTTTTCAATTTGAAGTGGTTGAATTGACAACAGATTATTTATACAAGATTCAATATCATAAACAAACTCAAGATCAGACAGTAACCAGAAATTTCACTCCTTTAGAAATGTTATTAAAACTTTAAGATGTTACAAATAATTCCTGTAGTTCAAATATTATTGTCTATATTCTTGATGTGATAAGTGATAATACATAGATCAGTAATTAATACTATATGTAGTACTGACATGCATAATTGAAGCTTTCAGAGGTTCCCATTTTCTTATTTCTCCAAACATTTATCATTTTAGTGACAATATGAAATAAAGATTATACAAGAATTATCTCAAATGATCCCTAAGATTTGAAGAATATTATTTGGTCGAGCTTCGTATAAGTAGTTGTTCTGGAGAGCATCAGATTATGTACAGCCTCACTTGTAAGCTTTGTTTTCAACTTCTTGTACTCTTCGACGTGCATCGTGCATGGCTATATATAGCACATGCTATCCATCATTCGAAAACTTGTCAATCACAATAAGCTATGTTTATTAGGTACATATATACTTTTCACGAGCTGTCCGTTTTACCTGGATACCGCCCTGGCACAAGGCCAGGGAAATCGAGTACGCAACCTTAGTGAAATTGTCCGCAAGGACTACCCGTGTTGTTCCTTTCGGGATGCCGTTGAGCATGATAACAACCGCTAGGCTGCTCCTATCACCACCTTCACTTCAACTGAGGTTGTCTTGTTACGAATAGTTCCCCACTCTTGTTAAGCCCCTCATCCTGAATCAATTGTGTGCTGGATTTATTATAGTAATAAGAAAATAACAGAGAAAATAAGGAACAAGAAGAGTAGATTGTTAAGAGCTATAATTTATATGTATGGATTGTCTGATTCGATATGCCTATTGTCAATACCTTAGTGCCTTTTCTGTCAGCTTCTAGAATTGCATCTTCAATCATCAGATTCTTGCTTGTAGTTAAAAACAAACTAATATCTAGTTATGAGATTAAAAATGTGACTTTCAGCAAAGCACTACTGGCCTCATTTATTGCTTCTGTATAGCATGTTTAGGCTTTAGCATGTGTATCAATCAGATTCTTGAGTGAGTTCCTATTTTTTAACCATCATTTTGGATCAAATATTTTATTAAGTGTGATGGTGTGGATAAAATCTTTCTTTATTGATATTATTTTGTTCAGCTTTTTTGTAATTCTTCTTGTTTATAAAGATGGACAGGGATTCTGAAGAATCTCATCCTGGTTTTCATTTGAATTCAAGTGGATTATATCCTTCTCATGTTGACCTACAATATGGAGCCACTCCTACGTTTCAAAGCTTGTTGAACACTCCAATGGTTAGAAATCCAATGGTAATCAATCAAGGTGGTGTTAACAATGCTCATTTTCCTATCTACACTCCAATGACCAGTTTTCAAACACAAAGTAACACTTCTTTGGGTAGTAATCGAATTCCTGTTAGCACTTCAACGGTCCCTTCTCAAATTGGTGGTAAGACCACGGGCATGAACAATCAGAATCAAGAAACGCCAAAAGGATTAAAAAAGAGAGTTAAAGGTGTCCAAACTTCAAGCAGCAAAAAAGATTGGGGTGTAGAAGAAGAAGAAGCTTTGACGAACGCATGGTTGAATGTGTCTTTGGACCCTATTGTGGGTAACAATCAAAAAGCTACTGCCATGTGGGTTCGTATCCATCAAGTATGGAAGGAAAACATGGGGCCTGGATGCAAATATCTTAGATCGTCTAATAGTTTACAATGTCATTGGTCCATTATTCATGCAGCGGTAAACAACTTTGCAGGACATTATTCTAAACTAGAGAGGCATCCTCAGAGTGGTACAAACTCAAAAGACTTGGTAAGTATATTATGTTATATTAAATGTTTTCATCATAAAATAATTTTCTTGTTACCTATCACCACATTTTTTCATTTTTTATTTATTATCTTTGTAGATTCACAAGGCGTTGGGTATGTACGAAGATATAGAAGGTAGCAAATTCAAATGGGTTCATTGCTGGGAAATAATGATGAAAAATCCAAAATGGCAGTCGAAACATGATAAGAACATTGCACCAAATAGACAAGCAGATGATGAAAACAAGTCGCCTACATCTGAAGAGTCTTTACTGAATATCATTGATGATAACGTAACACCTGAAGGTAATAACTGTGATGGTCGACCGATGGGAAGAAAAAATAGTAAAGAAAAGAAGAGAAAATTGCATGATGAAAAAGGTGTGGTGGATGCATTAAACAACTTGCAGTCCACTTTGGCAAAGCAGATCAGTATCAATGAAAAAAGTTTGGAGATGAGAAAGAAAAATGAGGAAGAAAATATCCAGTTGAAAAGGCAAGCACTAAACAGGGAGATGGAAATGAAGATGAAGGAGCAAAGGAGAAAACGACAAGAACGGGTAATGAACCAAGATTTAAGTAAGCTTACACCTGTAGCTAGAGATGCATATGAAGCCATGCAAGTCAAGATTTTGAAAGAATGGGAAAAAGATGATATATTTGAAACTGATGTGCCAAACTCACAGGTATACTACTATGTGCTTTTGATTAAATTTTTTAAAAAAATGTCTTGGTACATAATTACTCTCTTTTTTTTTTCTATATTCAGGATTTTTGAGGCTTCAGCAAAAGACCTGGAGTAATTTTAGATTTGTGCAGGATTGCCTTGCTGAACATTTCCTTAATGTATTTTTTTTAATTTTTTTTAATTTTTTTTTCTAATATTGAACTAATTTGTTGCTACTTTTATTTATGAGATAAATGGTGTCCAATTGGATTATTTGTCATACCATGTCCATGTTTTTTTTCAAATATATAAACCATCTAAAAATTGCTGAGATTTTAGCAGGAAAAAATGAATTTTGTGTGTACCCCAATCCTATTTCAAAATAATTCACAAAACTCAAAATCTACCTAAACACAATCTAAGTAACTTCAATAGCAAATATTTTTTTTTCTTATATTAAAAAGATTAGTCTGATACCATTTGTTGTAAATACTTGGGTCCATTTAGCTAAAAGGCTAAACATATTGAATTAACATTTCAAGCTCTTTAGATCACATAAAGTTACATAATCAGCAACCATCATTACATATCCTTAATCAGTTTATTTTTTATAACCTACATATTGATGGCAGAGACCAAGTTGTATCTTGAGGTGGTCAAGAATACTAGACAACTTATGTACCATGCTCGAAAGCTCCCATGTCTAGACAGTTAAAGACATCACTTATTTTTAACCCAAACGAAGAAAAATGAAAAAAAGTTATACACTTCCATTTTTGAAAATCTAAACAGTATTTTAGAAAATGCTAGATGGTAGGCAGACTCACTTATTTTCTTAAGCAGATAATTAGCAAGTATATATCCCTGCACCTCGACTGAATGCTACAAAGACACCTGATTAGGCTACAGAAGGCTATATCACGGGCAACAACAATCTCAATGATTTTTGACATCTTCTAAATAATGCCATTGACAAAAAACTATAACACTTGAGTTTATCACACTACCATAAAATGAAATAATATTTTCCAAACAAAATACAATAATCATTGGATAAATAAAAAAATAAAAAAAAAAATCACAATTTTCCATTCAAGACACAATTATAATTCAATCAATTTGTTGACCACCATGCAAGTTCCATAAGTGGTCGATAAGATCGAACTTTAACTCCTTGTGCACTCTTTTGTTTTGTATTTCCTTCATTCTGCTAGTCATCCTTGACACGAGATAAGAAAAATCATGCTCTGGAATAACATTATCATTTACTTCATGTCGCCTAATTTGTTCTGGCTGCCAACTCTCGGGATTCATGCCTTGGTTAGTTTCATTTTCAACAATCATGTTGTGTAAGATGATGCACGTCTTCATAATTTTCTCCAAATCTTTAGCATTCCACATACGTGCTGGCCCTTTAACTATATGCCAACGACTTTGCAAAACGCCAAATGCTCGTTCCACGTCCTTTCGTGCAGCTTCTTGGCACTTGGCAAATAACTTTTCCTTCATTGAAGATGGACTAGAGATTGTTTGAATTAAAGTGGCATATTGTGGGTATATTCCATCTGATAAGTAGTACCCCATATTGTAATAATGATCATTCACTACGAAGTTGCATGCCGGAGCTTTTTCATTAATGAGATCATCAAACAATGGAGACCTATCTAAGACATTAATATCATTATTAGTACCAGCCATCCCAAAAAATGCATGCCAAATCCATAAATTTTGTGAAGCCACAATCTCTAAAATAAGAGTTGGAACTTTTTTGAAACCGTTAGTATGTGTTCCGTGCCAAGCCGTGGGACAATTTTTCCAGTGCCAATGCATACAATCCAAACTACCAAGCATTCCTGGAAATCCACGCCTCTCACCCTCTTCCAACAACCCCGTAATATCATTTCCGGTCGGTTTTCTTAAATACTGTTCTCCAAAGATACCAATTATAGCATCACAAAATCTTTTTAAGCTCTCAATTGCAGTGGTTTCTCCAATCTGAATATACTCATCGAGAGAATCTGCTGAGCAGCCATATGCAAGCATTCTTATTGATGCAAGCAATTTTTGTAAAGGAGTTAATCCAGGCTTCCCAACGGCATCAAACTTTAGTGTGAAATAATTGTCATAACTTTGAATTGCTTTTGAAATACGTTCAAACAATTCGACGGTCATTCGAAAACGACGACGAAATTGATCAGGAGTGTATTTCGAATCTTCACCACTAAAATAGTCTTTGACAATTACATCATGCCGTTTTCTATCACGGTGTATATAGCATCTCTCACTCGTAGACCCGCCATGAAGACCTTTTTCTTTGACCAACATCGTCGAAACTATTAAAGGGACATGGAGTAGACAAGTTTGAACCAAATCCATATCTGTTTCTGTATCCAGAGTGTCATCTTCTGTAGGCTCATCCAATAGTTTTTTAGTTAACGAAAGTTCGCAATCACTGCATGATGAACTATTGGAGTCTGAATCATAACCAAAATTTGCCATTTATTCTTTGTAACCTGTAGAAATTAAAAAAAAAAAAGCCTCATAGAATTTATCAAAAATATTAATCTATAGAATATAACTAAAGTACTTATTTTAATCTTGTGGTAATCAAATATAATTGATCAAATAAAACAATTCAAATAATATTGCAGGTAATCAAATAAATAAATTTTATACAATAAATGTATCATCAAAACATACACACTCCACAAAGAATTATAAAAGTATGATAAAAAAATGAAAAAAAAAAAATGGAAGGCGAGAGTTTTACCTGCGCAACTCAATGTTGAAATTAGAAGATATGAGTAGGGCAAGCCACCAAAGCTCTCCGTAATTATTTTTTTAACAAATGTTTACATGATGTTTAGGAGATGGTGTCTTTCTGCTTGCCTTCATCAGTCCAATGGGTAATGCAAAAAAGTGAAAAATAGAATAAAATAAAGATTAGGGAGAATGATGGTGGACTTGAATTCTTGGCCGGTGCAGAGGGCCCAATATTTGGGTTATTGAAAATTTAAAGCCCAACATATAAAATTATCAAAAGTCCATAATATTTAGGAGGTGTTCACATTGTGCATTGAGAAACACATAAAATTTAAGAAGTTGTGGACTCAACATCCATGTGATGTAGATTCACATCACCTTTATTTAGTTGACACATGGCAAAATTAATTTATCTACAACATTACACATTGGATAATGCGCACACGAGTGTTAGTACTCGAGAATCGAAATTTGGTTTCTCCATGTGCTTATGTCTCCATATATATGTAGCTTTTTAATTTTTGTCCATTTGTTAGCATTTTCCAGATCTTGTTTTTATCTTTTTCTTGCGTTTTTTGTTTCATATTTTATTTTGTTCTCTTTTGGTTTAAAGTTATAAGGNTAAAAGATGGCGAGATGGCCGTATTTGATTCGGCCCCTATATATATATATATAGAATGTGGTTCAAATGAGAATCAGGTTTTAGTGTAAGAACTGTGAGAACCGTTATTTTTAATTATACGTGGTGCTATCATTGATTGTGTTTGGTGCTATTTTTAATTAGGATGAATTTTATTAAAAATAACAACATAATTTATATTAGCATTTGTGAAAATGATAACATAATTTAATATTAAAAATAGCATAATACATAATTAAAAATAGCATCAAATACGATTCTCACAGTTCTCACACCACCACTAGTTTTTATTTGAACCAACCCCTATATACATATATATATATATATATATATATATATATACTAGTACGAATTCCGTGCTATGCACGGTGGGAGATATTATTAGGGAGATTAGATACCATATAGTAACACTTTTCTAGTTCTTATATAAATAATTAAATATTTGTTTATTTTGGTTCTATTTTCTTTAACTAATACGAATCATGTGCTATGCAGGGGTAGGAGATATTTATTAATATATATAAATTAAAAATATACATTAAATAATACTTATAACTTAAAAATATGGAATCAATTGTAATACAATTCACCTATATTACAATATAGTTTCAAAATAAGTGTCATTTTAAAATTTTCATTCAGAAATTCAATTTAACTACAATGTAATTTCATAAAATAATAATTTTGATAAAATATTATGAATATTTAAAAATCTATGTGAATAATAAGTACAGTTATAAAACTATAACTAAATTGAATTTATTTTTGTATAAACTATCTAAATAAAAAAATCAAGTAGTTGAATAATTTATTAAATTATAAATAATTGATTATTCTATTTACGTCCAAGTTAATACTAACCTGTAAGTTATTAAGAATAATTTATTTGACTTTTAAATTTGGAAACCAAATTTAGACTACACAATAAATTCTTTATACATATTATCTCTCAATTTTTTAAATTTTTTTTCGGTTACCTATTATTGTTCAAATTTATCAACTAATTTTTTAAAATTAAATTACAAATTTTAAATTTTATTAACTAATATTTGTTCAAAAATCTTTCTGATATTCAAAAGGAATACAGATCAATTTGAAAAATTATCATCAAAATCGTGTTGGTTGATCAAATTTTTTAAGGAAATGAGGTACATATTGTATTATTTAAACCGTAAAGTTGTGAATTATTTGTAGAATAAATCAATTTGTAGTATATGAAATCCTCAATTTTTGGAATAAATCAATTCGTAGCTTTTGAGCCTACATTATATGGAATCCTCAATTTTTGAATTGTTATATTCTAAATAGTTTTATATTAATTAGCCACTATTGTGTGATTTTATGCATCATAACTGACTCATGAATCAACCTATCAAACGTGTTGAGGTGAATCAATGAAGATATTATTTAACAAAATCACTTAGTACTAATCACATTAATCGTAGTAGTTGGAATCCTCAATTTTAAAAAATATTTGAAGTGATATGTTTTTATCATGTTTAGGAAACTGGTGCATTCTTTAATTAAAAAAAAAAAATCAATTTTAAACAGAATGTCAATATAATCGGTTAAGAAAAGAAGTCAAATATATTGCTAAAATAAAAATATGTTTTCCAAATGAAAAGGAACTTGAATTTATCCGATATGGAAGGAATCTCATCCAAAACATATTGAACTCATCCAAAACATAATGAATTTCGGAATGAAAAAAATTCAAACTTTCGAAAAAATTTCAAACAAAATATTAGAGGGAAAAAAGTGATTTGAGCGGTAAAATGAAATAATTTTTCAAATATTTTTTCTTCTCTCTATTATATAGTAATAAATAGATAGTGAAGGCGTACAATGAAACCAATAAGTGTATGGTTTTTAAATTTCTTTATAATCATCTTTTAGCATTTCACTAATCAGATTTAATTACCAGATAATTCTGTCTGGAGAGTAGTTTTGTTCGCTAGCTCCATCATGGAACTGAACTGAATTAATCAACTTCAACTAAACTTGATCCAAAATTTGTTAAATAATTAAATAAATGGATAAGAACAAAACTCATTAAACTTTGATTGTGCACCTTTTAAATGTACAAATTGAATTGACATGTTCTTTTGCCAACTTGCAAGGCATGTGAATTGCGGTGGTTTTAAGTGAAAATCTTGTACGTTGTGTCATTAGATTTTTGTGGGGGGTGTTGATTGAGACAAGGCAACCAATTATATTAACAATAATTTATTATAATCTTTCAAATATCAATTCTTGCACCCGAGTCAGACTAATTATTATACGTGTTGACCTGTCATATTTTTTAAACAAATATATAAATTTATATTGAGAAATATCATATTTTTTAATTTTATTATTTTTTAGATATGTCAATTATGCATGACAGTGTGTAAATTTGTTTAACATCAAAATGTATGATAAATCTAGTTGATAGTTAATAAGTTAGCCAATCTTATGATTGATGACTGAACAATTAGCCAATACGATTCAAGTGTTTGATTGAGCTATCTGCAAAGTCAGTTGAAACAAAAAATTGAACGAGTTTTTTTGAAAATCTAGCTACATAATGAAACTAATTACGAGTTACAACATGAGCTGTAACCTTTTAAAAAAGCTCATTCTATTCAATTAAACTTATTTAAATACAAATAATTTATAAGCTAACTAAATTGCTATAGGTTAAGTTATACTTCTGGTTCTAATTGGCTAACCAATAAAATTGTACATGCATGTTAGGTTTGTGTCAACAACAGTTTGTTATGGAGGTAAATTTGACCCATTCTCAACTGCAATTTTGCCGAAAGATGAGGTTATATAATAGATTTGATTGATGGACTCTCGCTAACTTCTAATCTACAATCAATTGTAGAAAGCCAATTACACCCCTCTCATTATATATATGTTATCAAACATAATTCAACAATATGATTGGAGAATAATGAAACAGTCAAGAAGTAATATCATGGCGACTTTTTCTCATCTTATCATTAATTTTATCTTGTCCCCTGAAGATATAACGAATCTTACTTTGTAACAAATTAGTTATAAATCATGGAGAAAAATACTACTTTATAGAAGTTTAGAATTTTTTAGTTATGAGGAATTGAAAAATACACCAAGCATGTTGTGGCTAATATAGGTTTTGTAAAGGTTTACTGGATTTCCGAGCCATATAATGTGATTGGCACAAATAGGTCAACAACAAATAGTTCTTTTGACTTGTGGTAACTAGTATGGACTATAACTATTAAAATAAAAACGAGTTGTTTGTGAGCTGAATTGGGATTGACTCATTAATGCTCGAGTTCTCTAACGAGCTAAAATTTTTATATAATTTTGTATAATTTGATTCGTTAAGGCTCGAAACGAACAGTTTGTGATCTTAATTGGGCTTGACTCGCTAATGTTCGAGCTCTCAAATGAGCTGAGATTTTTGTATATTTTTTCATAACCTGATTTGTTAAAACTCGAATTATGGCTCGCTAATATTAATAAAGGAGCTGAGGTCAGTTTCATTTATCAGCTTGAGTTCTAGTTCGAGTATTAAGAGCTCGATCTCAACTCTTGTAGTTTACACCTCTAATGATGACCACTTATCGCGAAACTGATTGACGTTGAGTGATAATATGAATTATGATTGAATAATTGTTTAAAATAAAAATCCTATTGCATAGTCTAATGTAGTAGTGCATGTATTTTAAATTTTGAGCAACAAGTGCATAGCAAGTTAGTAACAAGTAACAACTCACAACCATTCAACTTTGTTTCTACACAAAGTATTATCACATGTTTGAAGACAAGAAAAATAAAAATAAATAATAATAATAAATCCTTACATGAAAGCAACACACGAACAGTTATTGTTGAGAAATTAAATTCAGGCAAACATGTAAGAAAACGATGGCCTGTTTGTATGTAGAAAGGGCCTGTGGATTAATTTTTCTTGGGCTGATTTTAATTCTCCAACACTCCTTTTCTGTACCCAAAATGTTTCAAATATTCAGGCCCAATATTCGAAAGTAGGCTAACCCATTCATTTCCAATTTCTAGGCCCAAATTAAACAACTAATGTAAATAATCAATCCATGATTTTCCGGACTCTCACCTCGAGCTCCGTGCCTATTACCATGACATTGGTATCAGGCCCGTTTGAAACGAAGAATATTTCTCACCTCGACCTATGATATTATTATTAGCACGGTGGTACCTATAAATGCTCAAAGTTGACTCTCTAGGCTCTTGAATTTGTCTTCTATCATCCGTCCCAAAATCTCATTTGAAGTTATAACTGATTGTAAACGAATTGAGGTCGACCTCCTAAATACAAACTTGAGTCAAGAAAAGATGTCTCACTAGTCAGTCAATTTTAACAAGTTGGGTTGTAGAAAATTTATTTAAATTCCACATTATAGATTGTTAAGTAAACTGAATTCGAGCTCCTTATACTTGAATTGGGGCTCAAGTCAAGAAAAGTTCGATTCATTAATCTATCAATACTAACAAGTTGAGCAAAAGAAAATCATAGAAAATTTCATATTTTTCGAGCCCTGATGATCGAGTTCAACTCAACTCCAACAAGTCGAGCAGAATCGAGCTGGGAGCTCATGAATAGCTCGTTTTGTTTAATGGATTAAAAGTAAATTATAATTTTACCATAGCATTCGAAATTTCCGGCCACCGATTGCCGCCGGGGCCTCTTCCACAATCCGGCGGTCACTCCCGCGCCAAACAATCCTTTCGTGGTCTCCATAGCTGCTACAGCAATCGGCCGTTAGCCCGAACACTCTCTCGCCGTTACCCAGCGCAAATCTCAGCTCCTCCGCCGTTGATATCCCGTGATGCCTAATTATTACCAACCCGAATTCCACGATCGATCCCAGCAACTGCCGCACGGAGCCGCTTTCCCCAGACGCTAGCCGTCGGAAATCGATCTCCTCCGGCCGGAACCGCTGAGCCTGCTGGGGAAGCTTCAGTTTCGGTATCTGTACGGACGCGTCGATGTGGCCGGACAGAATTGGATCAGCGGCGGAGCGGGAGCCTCTGGCGGTGGGGATCGGCGAGGGGATGGATTTTTTCATTTTGAATATTGCTAATGATTTTATTCCATGTCATTATTATGGTTTGCTCTTAGTTATTTATCATTTGTGGGAACGTAAATTATTTATATTTTCCAATATTATTCGATTTCTTACTTAAATAGTTATTTTGTATTTTAATTTGTCCTCTATAAACTTATGATTGATCAGCGAATTTTGGGAGGGATTTTGGGTTTCTCCATTTGGGAGATGAAAACAATGAGCTCGAGCTGGGTATTAATGGGAAAATGTGATGGGAATTTGTGATTAAAGGGCATGAATTTGAGAAAATGGTGGGCGGCACGTTTTGTTATCATATTTTATATATTTACTTGCCTTGCGCTAATACACTTTCATTTGCAGGCTAGTTGTTTTAATTTCCGGCCAAAAAACGTTAAGTGCCGGCCGGAATACCTATCGGAAAATATAGTTAGGCTTCTTGTTTTTTCCTCCCTTCATGCATATGAAAGTTCTATGATCAGTGTAAGTATGAATTTCCTAGTTTTTTTTATCAGTGTAAGTATGAATTTCCTAGTTTTGAATGAATTTGTGATGTATTTGCCCCCCAAAATACGACTCTAACTTGCTCTCGAAACTTCTTAAATGTCGAAAAACATTGAAAGTGTTGCAAATTGTGTACTTTTGTTTTCCGGGATTAGTTCTAGCTGACCGATTAACGATTTCTGTGTAGTGAGATCCTAGTCATGCTTCCCTTAACATGGTCTCTTAAGGTTCAAGTATGCAGCAGTATCACAAAGTTCAAACTTTTATTACATTATGGTACACAAGAGTGTTGTTTTTCTCTCAGCATTCGTGCACATTTGCGCTGAAGTCTTGCACACTACAGGAAGAAAAGATTCAAACATTTCACACCACACACCAAAACAAGACTGAATAAAATGGCCACCTCTCAGAGCCTATTGACCGATTTGCCCTTGACAGACTCTCCCAGGAAAATGCCGCCTGCAGTTTTAGTTTTACTTCCTGAATAGCTTTCCGGGTCTTGAAATCCGACATGCTCGACTGCCCCTACAGTCTTGAACAGCCGCCTCTTGTTGATCTCTTCTAGAAGAGTCTTGTGCAACAGTTGGCTTCGAATGTCCATGAATGACGTGGCTCTCGATATTTTCTGCTGGCATTTTGAGCTATAATTCAATAAGTTAAATTCACTGCAATTTTGGGCAGTGTTCGCCCCAGGTTTGAACCTGGTGCATTTTGAACTCTTTGAAGGGCAAACTACATCTTTGTTGAGAGAGATTGGCACTGGATCATCCTCGTTCGCCGAGTAGTAACTCATATTTCTGTACATTTCGGAACAGGACGAGCTTTGGGAACTTGCATCATCGTGAAAATCTGCCTCTGCATAAAAACAGTATACGTTGAGTTGTAACCAGCAAAGAATATTCACTCTGGAAGTTTATCGAAGAAAATTTGGTGGAAAAGGAAAACCTTGAAGCCAATCGTGTTGCGAATTCACTTGATAAAACCGGTCATCGTCGGAGGTAAACATGCCCGGACGGGAATCATGGGAGGAAGAGAAAGAAGATGCATGGTAGAAAGGGTGGCGAGGGCTATTTTCGTCACTATCATCATCTTCATTGTAGTAGAAACTCTGCTGCTCGTGTATATTCGAGGAGACAGACGGGACCAAAGCCGAGACTTCTTTCTCAATCATATTAGCAATTTCGATCGGCTCCCAATCTGTGATCTCTAGTTCCTTCACCATTTCCGTGGCCACATCAAACGGGGTATCTCCTGTAATGTCGAACGGGAAAAATATATTTCTCGCAGGACCTGAAAATGAAAATTCCACCTCCGTTAACCGCCACATTTTGTAATAATGAGTTTTCTTGAGCTGAAAGTTACCTTTGTGATCCGAAATCTGTACTTTGAGAAAGACAGTGTCTTGCTCCGGATTTAAAGTCCCTGAAATTTTCATTTCCGTGCTCCTCCTCCTCAGCAGTAACTTCACATCCAGAGGGATTTTGTTTACGGCGGGTAAATTTTCATCAACCTCGTCGGCCGATAAAAATGGATCCATCAAGAGTTGACGAGCGGATGGCCGATTGGGAGCCCTTTCCAAGCACCTCCCGACAAATCTCCTTGCCTCGGGATCCTCAATACAGTAAAATGCCTTTGGCAGCTTTCCCTGTTTTCATATAAATAAATGAGAAAAAAAGGAATTTATAATTATAGCTGCTGACTGTTTGTTCTTTACTGGAAAGTAAGAAATATTTACTTACCGATGTCACTTTCTTGTAAATCTGAGCTGGATTCGAGCACTCGCTGTACGGATACTCTGAGGTGATCATCTCAAGCACGCACATGCCGAAGGAGTAAATATCGACGAGCTCGTCATATTCCTCTTCGTATAGCTCTGGCGCCATAAACTCGGGCGTGCCTGATATTTTTTCACGAAAAATCATATTCTTTATTTATTATCATTAAAATGGAACTAGCAAAAAAGAATGAAGGTAGAGTGAGTTAGTTGCCTATGACACTATGGGCTCGGTGGGACCCGTGAAGTACGGCAGCCAGCCCAAGATCACCGATCTTGACTTGGCCAAGATGGCCGTTGATGAAAATATTGTCGCACTTTAGGTCCCGATGGATAACGGGCGGGTTGCGACTATGCAAATACTCGAGCCCGTTTAAAATCTGGCGAGCCCAATCTTTCACGGCCCATATGCTCACCCGCTTGTACCTCTTTCGATACCTGTTGCGCATTGCATTCGATCATGGGAATGAAAAAAGAAACTTTTTTATTTTTTTTCCGGATATTTTCTCTCTTTGGATGATGGAAATAATGAATTTTATTTACTCACTCTCGTAAGGTGCCGGACGTGAAGAGCTCGGTTATGAAGTTGAAGGTTTTGCGGGCCGGGTCGACCCATGAGGCCCGGAATTTCATGATGGATTTGTGGTCGAGAGTCTTGAGGAGGAGGACCTCTGAGTGGAGACGGTTTAGAGACTCGGGCGAATTGAACATTTCGTTAAGTTTGACCTGATTCCAAGCCACTTCCATCCCGGAATGCTCATCGAATGCTCGGTACACCATTTTCATTGCGCCTTTGCCCAAAACATCTTTCAACTGCAAAAACCAGTAATTTTTTTTTTACTTTTAATTCAGTCTCTAAAATGAATCAAGAGAAATCTTATGGAGATTTTGTACCCGTCCGTAACGTTCGGATGGATCCATTTCAACGTATAACTCGTTTACGCGAGTTCTATACATGATGGAGTGATCTTCTTGTGGAGTGTAACACTAGTGTTTGCCTACTACGTATTACTAAAAGTAGTTATTCTAGAGAATTCTGGAACTGGAATCTGTATGGCTGTGAAGCGAAAAAACGGAAGACGACAGAACGAAAACTTATGTTAGCTAATCCGAGGCTTTCCTTCGTGATTCTCGTACGAAAAGACGCCAAAGAGTAACCAGAAGAGCCTCGAGTAATCGATCCTCAGCATGATCCAAGACATTCCCATCACTTCACGCGTAAAATCGTGCTCTTGAGAAATCATTTGTGTCCTGAAATATGAGAAAAAAGGTAGGTGCTAATAATAATATAGAAGCAAGAAAATGAGAAGGATGATGATTTTTTATTTTTTTTTTTCTTTTGTCAAGTTTCAGAAGGTGGAATGATTAAAAAAGTGGGGCATTCAAGAAAGAAGCTGAAATTCTGAACTTGAAGAATCTGTGGCCACGTTTTGGTAGTTCCATTTGAGGGATTTGATGAAAAAAAAAAAGATGGATGCTTTTGTGAGATTTCTGAAGATTTAAGGAGATGGGGATTAAGGTTGCAATATTGGTTTTGAGATTTTGGAGAGACTTGATATGTGCGGACGAATAGGCAGGGCCAAGAAGAGTTGACGGGGTTTTATGTGAAAATTACTGGTGAAATAACAATAATATTTAATTTTGGAGGCAGACTTTAGAAAATGGCTCTTGGGTTTGTGTATATGTTATAGTGTGGATTAAGTCAAACGGATTTTAATTAGTTTCACATTTTTTCTTTCATAAAATATTGTGTGAGACAATTTTAATGGTTAGGCCGGTAAAATACAAATTTATATGATCAAATGTCATATTTTTATTTATTTTATTTTTCAAGTATACTCGTGAGAAAAGTAAGAAAAGTATGACGGTCTATTGGTTGGGTTGGCTTAACAA